CTTATATCATGCATCGCGTTCCTTTGACAAAATTTAACACGTGTGAGTACGTGTCCTGAAACTAGTGATACGTGAATTTAAAATAATATTTTAAATTGTCAGTGTTATTAAAATAATAATTATTATTAATTCGTTAACTAATACCAGTGTCAATAAAGTTTAGATTCTCTGTAAAATTTCCTTATAATACTATGAATGATAATTCCCGATAATTATCATTCATTAAATTTCTTCAATAATTCATTAAAAGTGATAGGTATTTACATATTTATTAAAGAAAAATTATCACACGTCAATTTAAATTTGAAATTCTAGTTTATTCGTTAACTAGGTTGCAAAACACGCGATTTACATATTTATCAAAAAATAATGGAGGAAAAGCACATCTCTTGTCTTCAAAAAAATAAATTCAATAATAACAATCGATGTTTTAAAATTTAAACAACATTTTCAAATATCCTTACCTATATTTTGAAAAAATTCTACTTTGTTCAGTACTTAGGTTGCAAAACACACGATTTACTTTTATAAAAAAGCAAATCTATCTTCAAAGAAATAAATTCAATTTAATTTTACACCAACAACGACAATCAATGTTTCAAAATTTAAACGGCAACATTGTGGTACTGGTTGATATAGATTTTCTAATGTATTCGTATTGATGTAAAATAAATGATGTATGTAAGAAAGAATGAGTGGCTCGAGTATGCGTGCAATGAATGAAATGTGGTATAGACTGTGTATATTCACGTGAAAGAAAATAGAACAGAGAGTATAGTTTGAATAGGTCAGTTACAATTTAGTATCGATTGTGAGCAAACGAGTGTACGAGTAACATGAGAAAGTATAAGCGAAATTAGATACATTTCTTCAATAATTTTTCACCCTGATTTATAATATTGTTTAAAACATGCCAAGCCATTTTTCCCCGACATGATCTCCAGGTCATTTGTTATTTTGGCTAAAAATTGGTATATTATCACGCGATATGTCATTACATCGTCAATCCATAAGTAATTAGCTTGTTTAGAGTAGTTATCACACTGTTATACCATTTATGGTACACGTGGCACTGCGATCAGTTCGACTGTAAAAGTCAGTCAGTTCGAAAATTTTCGATTAGTAAAATGAACTAAAAGAGTAGTGACATTTTGCAACGATTGCTCGAATAAGCCATTTTTATGCATCCCTTGCTTTAGAAAAGTCAATCATTACATGCAAGTAATAATTATCGTATATAATAACAATTAAGCAAATTTATGTGCTTTGTTCTATACTGTATTTTATATAATGCCTCATTCTTTCAGTGGAAATATATTTTACAGAATTAAATTTGTCATAAAACATGTTTTCAACGCATTAAATAAATATGTCTGCGTGTGTACCATTTATGGTACACGTGGTCTGCAGCTCAAGTTTGACGTGTACCACAAATGGTACACGTGGCACGGACCTTGTTAACTCTTTGGGGCACGCTAGGATTAAGAGTGTCCCACCATTTTGATGCACCGTAATGCATGGTGGGACATTCTTAGTCCCACCTGGAAATATTGCAATAGCTGCATGCGCGTAAGTTTATATTTCGTCTTATTTACGTAAAGCAGTTGGTAATACCTTCGACAAATGTTATAAATGTACTCGCTTGTGTTGGCAACATTCAACATGCCAGTACAGATTCATCGATTGTTGCAAGTGGAAGGTTTACTGCGACAATCTTTTTTTTCTGGTTTTATGTTTTCACATTTTCGTTTCATTTAAAACGCAATAAAATTTCTATGCAACATGGTTCTATTTTATTATCTGAAATTTATTCCGGAATATTTTCATTTAAATATAATATCCACGAGTAACAAACATCTGCAAGAATTTTTCCTTTCCTTCCCTTTTCGAAATCACTGTATCTACCCGACACGCATATTCATCTGTTGCCAAGAATCGTAAATTAAATGCAATTCGAGCTAGCCTCCTTTTCTCACCCTCGGAATGTGCACGTACACGCGATAAGCTTCGAACAAGAGCAAAAAGGGAAAAAGGTAAAGAAAAAATAAGAAGAGCAAAACAGCAAACGTATTTCCCCCGCGTTAACGCGAGAGTCGAGGTAAAAATTCGCGAAGAATTCGCGTGTTCGCGGAAAGCGCGTTGTTCCACACTCGCAAGTGAACGAAATGAATTATTACTAGACTTTTATTTCTTATTTGCTTGCAGAACGAACTACCGTCCCCATGCTTGGCAGTGCCTTTCCTGGGACCACTTTAGGTGAGTCGCGCGCGTCGCAGTAATGGAAATTTCTCTATTAAAATTTCAGGCAATAAGATTGTTTGCCTTCCATCTTCCACGCTTTGCCACCCAACGGCGTGATTCAAAGCACTCCGCCTCGCGTTTATTATCGGCCGATACCGAGTACCCCGGCGTTTTAACAAGGAGATCGATGGGGCACGGGAGCCTCGGGATGCGCTGAAGATGTCGGCAAAAATTCTTCTTCCTCTTCTTTCACCCACTCAGCGAAGTCGCGGAGTTTCGAGTTAACAAACTTAATTCATGTCGGCCACTGTGGCACCGGTTCAGCGATGGAAGCTGGTCGGAAAATATTCGCGCGGTGTCGCGATCTGTTTTGCATCTGCTTCGAGACTTCAGCGTGAGTGGTGGAAGCTACGAAATTGATTTTCCTTTGCCTTCGTTTTTCTTTCTACCTTTTTATTTTATGTTCCCTTCCTTGTCTCCGGGACTCGAAGGAGAGGTTGTCGCGAGCTTATGTCGCGAGTAGGAAAGAGATGTCGCGAGAGAGTTCATACGGGAATATGAAAGAGTAGGGTAAAAGTTTGGCGGGAAAGGTGAAACTTGGAGGAAGTTCATCGATAGGAGTAGGAACAGGCTTCGTGTCGACTTTACGCGAGTTGGGCCCCCTTTTGCATTTATTTCGAAAATTTTATGTGAGTTGTAGATGTGAGAAGGAATTTATTTATTTTTCTTTTCTTCAGCGTTTTATGGTATTTGTTGCTTGGGAGAGATATCTTGAAGTTCACTGACGGGGATGTTAATAATATTTTTATTGATTTTATATGGTTTATAATTTGTTTCATATTGGCTTTTAAATTTTGTTATAAGTATAATAGATGAAGCAGAGAATTAATGTTTTTTTTATGAATTTATATTTTTTTGGCGTATTAGTTGGAAGACGTATTTTGAAAATCATTCATGGAAATATTAGGGGTTTTAGTATGAATTTTGCACGATTTGTTTTCAAATTTCCTTTTTTCTTATAATTTTATATTTATTTCTTATAATTAGTATAATTATTATTTCATAATTTATTTTTTAACTCGCAATTTTAATCGTTTTTAAATTTTCTTATAATTATTATTTTGTAACTAATATTTTAATTCGCAAATGCAAGTTATCAGTTAATTAATGTCAGGAAAATTAATTTTTCTTTCTTGGATCATTTACATTTATTGGGAAAGATATTTTTAAAGTTCGCTAATAGGGGTATTAAAAGTTGCAGTATCGATTCTATGCAATTTGCAATTAATTTTGTATTTATTCTCGAATTTTGCAACAAGTAAATGTAGGAAGAAATTAATTTCTTTTTCTTGACATAATAAAATTTACAGATAAAGATATTAAAAGTTCTCGTGCTAATTTTTCACGACTCGCGATTCGCTTTACAATTCACTTCTTTTGTTATAAGTATAATAGACGCGAAAGAAAATTCATTTCTTTTTTCCTGAAGAATTTACATTTATTGCTTGGAAGAAAAATTCTAAAGATCGTTGACAGAGATATTAAAAGTTTCTTCGTGCAACTTACAATTAATTTTCCAGTGCTTTTAAAATTTTCTTTTAAGCAGATGCAAGAGAGAATTGATTCTTTCCCAGGACATTTACATTCATTGTGTAACAGAGATATCTAGAAGTTCACGCGTGAATATTCCAGATAGAATAAGAGTAGAACTTTGGTGAAGTTCAGTGATAGAGATATTAAAACTTTTCGTGTAATTCTCACACGAGCTAGAATTTATTTTGCATTCATTTCAGAATTTTACTCCTCTAAGTAGATACAGTAGAAACTTTTGTACACGAACTATGTATTTAGTAGATAGAGAAAAGTGGCCGAAGAGTGGAACACTTTCTTCTGCATTAAACTCTATTTATTTAAATAGAAATCGACAAAATTAGCAGTTTCTTTCAATATTTAAGATTCCCATATCTTTTTAGTTCCAAAGTCACGTGAAATTTTTAACCTAAGTAGCTATGTAGAATTAGATTCTTCTTGCTCCTCAACGTCTGCATATTAGGCTATTTGGATAATGAGGACATGGATATTGGAGTCTACTGTACAACAAAGAATTGGTTATTTTCTTTTCTTATTTTTTGGAGTATTTAACTCATTATTTCTCAAGTTTTTCATGCTAAAAGCCCCATAAAAATGATTGACACTCGTCTCAGATTAAAATTGTATTCAACGTACTTTAACACGAGCAAAATTTGTATAATTTTATTGCGAATAGGACAGGTGCATAATGGCTAATAAAAATTAAATAATTTCACGAAGCATAGTTTCTCGTAATTAAATTATAGTGCAAGTTAAGTATAATACGTACAATAGACCCTTGCTAATATTCCAATGCTTGCTTTGGTGCGAAGAATATCGAGGGAGACTCTATTTCTAGAATTACCGACTGTTATCTCTGATCACAGTGACCAGGTCACAGGTGAAAAAGAGAACCAACGAGGGTAAACGAGATAGAGAATGGCATTTAAGATCTGTTTGCATTACTGGAGTTGTAGATACCGCGACGAGTCGCTCAGCCGAGGCAGTTCCAGGAATTGCTAAGGATGACCGTAGGAATATTACCGAGGGAAAGACCTGAGGATATTAGAGAATATTATTAGGGGTTACTGTATATGTTATTTACTTCAATACTGTATTTTTGACGGTGGTCTAAGATACTTAGTCCTGGAATTTTTGCGAATATTATTAGGAGTTACTGCATCTGTTATTTACTTCAATACTGTATTTTTGACGGTGGTCTAAGATACTTAGTCTTGCAACTATTGCAAATATTAGCTAGGAACTACTATATCTGTTAATTATTTCAATGCTGTATTTTTGACAGTGGTCTACGATACTTAGTCCTGGAATTTTTGCGAATATTATTAGGAATTACTGTATCTGTTATTTACTTCAATACTGTATTTTTGACGGTGGTCTAAGATACTTAGTCCTGGAATTATTGGGAATATTATTAAGGGTTACTGTATCTGTTATTTACTTCAATACTGTATTTTTGACGGTGGTCTAAGATACTTAGTCTTGCAACTATTGCAAATATTAGCTAGGGCTACTATATCTGTTAATTATTTCAATACTGTATTTTTGACGGTGGTCTAAGATACTTAGTCTTGCAACTATTGCAAATATTAGCTAGGGCTACTATATCTGTTAATTATTTCAATACTGTATTTTTGACAGTGGTCTACAATACTTAGTCCTGGAATTTTTGCGAATATTATTAGGAGTTACTGTATCCGTTATTTATTTCAATACTGTATTTTTGACGGTGGTCTAAGGTATTTAGACCTGAGAATATTGCGAATATTAACCAGGGACTACTGTATCTGTTATTTATTTCAATACTGTACTTTTGACAGCGGTTTACAAAAGTTAGTTCTGGGACTATTGCGAATATTAGCCAGGGTTCACTGTATCTGTTATTTACTTCAATACTGTATTTTTGACGGTGATCTATGATACTTATTCCTGGAACTATTGCGAATGACAGCCAGGGACTACAATATAACTGTTATTTACTTCAATACTGTACTTTTGACGGTGATCTACGATACTTAGTCCTGGGATTATTGCGAATATCAGCCAGGAACTACTGTATCTGTTATTTACTTCAATACTGTATTTTTGACGGTGGTCTATGATACTTAATCCCAGGACTATTGCGAATACCAGCCAGGGATTACAATATAACAGTTATTTACTTCAATACTTTTGACAGTGATTTAAGACACTTAGACCGGGCTATTCAGCCAGTGGAGGATTTACGAGGGTTCTGGGCTAGCTCCGGGTCATGCGATCACTGAAAGAAATATTCGTATTAATGGACTGGTAACTCGAAATCACATAGCTAATATTTAACGTCCGAGGATTTATCATATACAAGATACAAAAGAAAGCATAACGCTAAGCTTATCACAGCCAGTCAAAATGACAGATGGATGAAAAAAGAAAAGACCAATCCTAAAAAAAATCGAACAAGAGGAAATATTGGAAAATTGATTACGCGTATACCAAAAGACAAGTCACGCAGTCAAGTGACCAGGGCGATAACATTGAGCGAGGAATTTTAAATCAAAAGTTTAAAAATGGTCATTTAAGCCGTGACAGGTTCAGTGTTAAAGATGGCAAGCAGCTCGTCGCGACGTTGCACTGTCTAATGAATAGGACTTTTGTCCTGTGAGATCCACGAAGAATCTGGCCACGGAAGGTGAAGGCACCTTTTGGCAAGAGGACCGTGATGAATCCCACGGCACTTGCCCCAGAACCTCAGAACGATAAAGCCGAAACGAGATTCTAAGATATTTAATATACCTATTTGCATGGGAGAGATAATAAGCGAATATTTAAAACGGGATAAAAGTTTCGATGAAAAGTTTGATAAAAATTTGTGCATGTTCGATGATGAATACATAAAAACAGCCTTCACGTGGACTTCGCGGGAGCCTCCATTTCTTTCGCGTTTGCTTCAGAATTGTAAATAGGAGGGCCAGAAAATTGATTATTTTCCTCTTCCTTTACATTCGTTGCTCGAAAGAGACATCCTTAACTTTAGCCACGAATATTCGAATGGAATAAAAGTTTCAGCCGAGAGTTTGTTAAAATTTCAATAAAGTTCGACGGCAGATATTTCCGTATTTTCTATACTTTCGCATCGATTTTATACGAGTTCCGATACGTTCTGTATTTGCTACAGAATTTTGCTGTAACTAGGAGTATAAGAGAATTGATTATTCTTTCTCTCGTTTGAAAGTGATATCCTTAAATTCACACGCGAATATCTCGGAGTGGATGAAAGCTCCATTGAAGAGTTCGATAAAAGTTCGACGATAGATACACAGGAAACTTTCGTGTCGATTTTGTTCGCGTTTCAATTCGTTTTGTATCTCCTCTAAAGTTTCATTGTGACTAGAAATATCAGAAAATTGATTATATTTTCTTTTCTTATAGATTTACATTCGCTGTTT